ACCATGATCTGTGTCTGCGCTTGGCATTTTTAATATCCTGCTCTACCTGCTCTCTGTTGTGCCAGGCAGGACAGGAGGAGCCTGAACCTGAGCTCCTCTTGACAGGCTGATTTCTCTCTCCCGGAGAGGAAGGCTGAGTGATTATTCCTGTGGGGATGATTTACCTCCTCCCTTGGCTCCAGGCCGTGGCTGTGCTGGGGGACTTGGAGGCTGTGGCTCTTGTCCCAGTACTGATGTGGTTTTGCTGGTGCTAAACTGGTTGAGAAAGTCAGGTGTGGTGTGAGCAGGTAGGACCCAGAGCTGCATTCATGGGCAGTTCTTCTCCTGGATGCTCCTTGCCGTGTCACCATGGATCCCCCTAAGGATCTCTGACACTCTTGGGAGAGACCTTACAGCACATGAACTACTTTATATGGTCATTGCAAGTCTTCAAGCTTCAAAAATCATTGTCAATGAACCTGCTTGCAGTGGCCTCCTGCATCCCAAGCACCGTGGGGTGTCCACTGCTCCGGCTGAGAGCTGGAGAGAGAAATGCCTTTCAGCCCCTGCCAGCACTGCTCATGCCTGGGGAAGTCCTTCCCCCTTGCAGCACTGGTGAGGCAGAGGTGGTTACCACAAGTGCAGGTCACAAACCATGTAAGTGCCAAGGCTGAGTGTTTGGTTGTGCAGATGATTCCCTCTGGTACAGCTTTGGGCTGATGAGTCACTTTGTCCCATGCAGGTAGTGTCACTTATCTCCTTCTCCCATCACCCTCTGCCTGTGTTCTCTGTCCTAGGGACTGACATTTGAGGAGGTGGAGAACTTCTTCACTTTTTTGAAGAACATAAATGATGTGGACACAGCTCTGAGCTTCTACCACATGGCTGGAGCTTCTCTTGATAAAGGTATTGAACCTGAGGGACATTCAGGTGCTGAAAGCTTGAGGGAGAAGAGCACAACTCATGCCTTGTCCTTGGAGTGGGAGAGGTGTCAAACAAGCCCAGGCTGACAGGTTAAAATGAACCCACATTGCAGTTCCTCCCTGTGCGGAGATGCTTAGGTTGCTGCATTAAAGAATCCTCGAGATCTCTAAGATCATCAAGTCCAAGCAACATCTATGGATAAAGAGGGATTTCAAGTTTTACACTTCCCCACTATTAGATAGAGAAGAAAACAGGCTGACTGGGTGAGGAAGTGATTTCACTCCAGCAGGACCTTTCAGGCCTGATAAGTGTAGAGACAGGACCTGGTGAGTGTCTCACAGGCTCTGGTTCCAGGTCCCAAGGACACCAGTGTTTCTCCTCCATCCCCATCTTTTGCAGTGAGCTTTGTCCCTCCTTTCACAAAGGAATCGAAAAGTGAGTGTAACAAAACCTCTCTTGTGTAGAGGTCTCTGATGGACACTGAGCACAGTGGGGTTGATGGAAGGAACTCTTCAAGCCTCAGTTTGTTTCAGCTCGGCTCCAAAATCAGAGGCTTTGCCCAGAAATAAGAGCTCCAAGGTTAGATCCTGCATTTCTGATTGGAAATCCAAGGAGTGGGAGCACCTTGGGAGCTCCCAGAAGTGCTGAAGGGAAGGACAAGAGCACTGGAAGCCTCTGAGGTCCCAGACTGAGCGTTGAAGTCTGTGCTGAGGCTTTCCAGACACCCCTCAGAGCTGTGCGTGGCCAGAGTGAGCTGAGCAGACCTCAGAGCTGCTATTTGCTGGGAGCTTGGGGATAATGTGGTTTATTGATCAGATTAATTCACATCATCCTCCTCATCATCATGTGTTTCCTTCTCTGTGCTGGTCTGTGTCAGGTGTGTCCCCAGACCTGACACTGAGGTAAAACAGGGCCAAACTCCCCAAACCACCCATTTAAACCACAAGTCCAGGTCTGTGCTGGGAGGACCTGTTGCAAATGTGTCCTTTGCTCTTCTATATCTTAAAGAGCTTTATTTCTGAGCACTCAGACTGGGACTTAAAAAAAAAATATGGGAAGCTCACTAAAAGCTTTTTAGGCTAAGTGGAAACTCTTGTCTACCAGAGACTTAAAGCTGATGTGTTTAGGCAGCTGCAGAATTAAACACTTTGGAAGGAAGCAATTCCAAGTGCAGCTGGTGGGGGAATATTAAGGCATTAATAGGTTTTGGGCAATGGAATTACGGAGCCAAACGTTTCACAGCTCTTGTGTGTGTCAGCAACACTCCTCAGCTTGATTTGGGGGGGGAAATCACCTGTACTCTTTGGTTTACATTACTGTTACCTTAGTTAAAAGAACCTGATGGGACTTTCTTCCATTTGAAGTAAAATCCCCGAGTCTGAGGCCCAGGGAGGTCATGGCCCTGCAAACCCAATTTGCTCAGTGTCTGCAGGAAATCACCAATTGTCCTGGCCTGGAATATGGATTTGTGGGGAATTTAGGGCCCTGTGCAGTTGGCAGATCAGTGTGATTCCTGTTTAATTATGTGCAATTAATGGGCTTGTGCAGGAGCTGCAGCCATTGAGCTGGGAGGGTTGGGCTGGAATGGGGGAGCCTTGGTGGTGTGCAGGGCATGGCCTCAAGCCATGAGTGGGCTCAGCTGCCCCCTGACCCTATATCCCCATCCCTGCTGCCTCCAGACCCCATATCCCCTTCCCTACTGTCCCCTGACCCCATCTCCCCATCCCTGCTGCCCCCAGACCCATCTTCCCATCTCTGCTGCCTTCAGACCCATCTCCCCATCCCTGCTGTCCCCATCTCCCCACCCCTGATGCCCTCAGGCCCCCAGTCACTTCCAAAAGGGATCCTAAAGCTATATTTAATGACCCTGAGCAGGAAGAGGAGCTTGTGTCTGCAGGCCACAGCCCCTGTGTCCCCCTGTGCTCTGTGTTGCAGTGACCATGCAGCAGGTGGCCAGGACAGTGGCAAAGGTGGAGCTCTCTGACCACGTGTGTGATGTGGTATTCGCCCTCTTCGACTGCGACGGTGAGTGACCTCAGCCCTCAGCCAGGCTGGGCCAGAGCCCTTCCAGGGGGGAAACACAGGGATAGCATCCTCTTCTTGCCATGCTCCTGGGCCATGGAGCTGTCCTGGTGCTCCTGCCGCTTTGGAAGGGCGTCCAGTGCTACCCAGAGCTGCAGCTCTCCAAGCACTGAGTGCCTGCACAGCTTCTTCTTGTCCCCCACAAAGCTCTGTTTTCTTTAGCAACATGAGCTGTTGTGCTCCAGTGCTGGAAATGAGCCAGTCTGGTACTTTTATCTCCCAGATCCTGGACAAATACCAGCTTAATTAATCCCTGGCAGCTCCATGCCCTGCTGGGAGCTCATTGCTTTGCTGGCCTACGGAGGTGTGAGTGCTCTGAGGTAGGCTGTGGCCACACTGAACCAATTTAATGAGAGTTTAGAGGAGTCTCTGGCACCAGGGGATGGTGACAGCAACTCTTGGAAAGGAGGAGATGCTGCATTTGCCCAAAACCAGAGTCCCTGCTGGCACCTTCCACCTCCAGCAGAACCCCTAGGTCTGGCAGCAATGATGCATAAACACACACTATAATCTACAGTTAATTACTCCATTCCTTGTTGTCCCTCTTGGCTTCAGCCCCACCTGCTTCTTTGCACCTTTCTAAGGTCACATCAGTTTAATTCTCTCTGTTCCAGTGCCACTTTCTGATGTGACCTCCAAGCCAGGATCAGCATGGAGTTCAGTGAGCCAAATACTCCCTGTTTGCATCCTCTTAGAGGAGAATCTGCTCAATATTTTGATAGCAAAGCTTAGGGGGGAGGAAGACTGTGGTTTCCAGAGGAGTCTCTGTAAGGAAGGAATCAGCTGGAAAAGCAGCACAGACTTCACTGGGTTTTATTGTGGTGTTTTCACTCCATCAGTGTTTATAGACACCAAAACCTGCAGCACCTGAAGGGATTTCACTCACCCCTTGAGAGTTTCCTGGGATTTTGCTGCCTAGATTTGCATTTGGATGCAAGACAGGGACAAGAAAAGCTTTCAAGAGCTTCACAAAGCACATGATCATGAACTACACCAATGTGGTTCCCTGTATGAACCAGATTGATTTTCTCTCCCTGCCTAGGGAGCTGCTGGCACTGGTGGGTTGGTTTGCTGAGGGATGTTGTCCTTCATGTTCCTCCTGTGCCCAGAGGTGTCTTGCTCTCCTGTGCTGCTACCCAGGAGCTAAAATCAGGGCTATCAGCTGTGTGCCATGGGCAGGGGAGAACAACCCATGGGATGCATGGCAGGAGGCACCAGGGCTCAGCACACACACATCAGGCTGTTACCAACCAGAGCCCCAAGTAACCACCCCAGAGGTTAATATAACTTACATATAGTGTATATATATATATATAGTAATAAATATTTATATATTTATTACTATAATAAATATTGG